CTCCTGCTGCCAACTTGTCCCCTGAGCTGCCTTCACAGGGGCTCTGGACGCTGACCCTTGCACCCTCCCACTGATAACTTGTCCCCTGAGCTGCCTTCACAGGGGCTCTGGACATTGACCCTCACTCCTTCTGCTTCGTGACGCCTTCTAACCTGCAGGCTCATGTTCAGACATCTGTGCAGAATGTTCTGGAATTGAGTTTCACATTTCCAGAGGAATCATGAGTCACATTAGAATAAGCACTTAAGGAGAGAAAAGAGAAGGAACACAAGGGAGGTGGATCTCATAAACTCGAAACCCCAAAGACTGACACAGGGAGTGGGGAGCTTCAAAGCCAAATAAACCCCTGGGATGGAGACCTTCCTAGTGATGTCATGATAGCCAGAAGGAACCACTGAAAACTCACACTAATTTTTCCACTTCTACACTCACATGTGGCCAGTGAAGACTGACATTCTGAACCAGCTCCTCTCCTGCCTTTCAGGGTGTGGCATGCTGCCTTCTCGTTGGCGGCCCTCAGCCTCAGTGCTGCCTCTTGCCGAGTCCACAGGGGATGGAGTGGGCAGCTGGCTGAGAGCACATCCTGCATCCTGTTCATGCTCCAGCCATGGGGCTGGAAAAGCATATTTCCTTCAGCTTCCAGTGGTTAGGACAGCATGGCCTCAGGGACAGCTGTAAGGACAGCATGGCCTCAGGGACAGCAGACAACCAGCCCAGGCCTGCAGGAGTCGTCGGGGCAGGCAGTGCTGTGCTGAGGACAGGAAGAGGCAGGAAACTGCCGTGGGGGTGGGTTGCCATTGTTTTCTCTCTTCTCCACACACAGATTTTCTTTCCTTTTCTTCCTAACTCATGTGGCCAGAGGCTGGACCTCAAGTGGACCCAAATGACGTGGTGCTTTGTTTCTGGACAGTCAGGACACTCAAGAAGCCTTGAGCAAACACAGCAATGTCCTGCAAACGTGCCGTTCCTGCAGAGGGCGGGGCCGCCATGACATCTGGAGTGGGCATCAGAGCGTGGAGTCGGTTTATATGGGGGCTGCGTCCCTGGGAAGCACTTGAGGTGCTCAGTTCAGAAGTGTCAACACCACAGATAAGGCACCCGCAGTGCACACATGAGTCCTTGGCTGAGAAGAGAACGGAGGTGAGGATGTTAAATTCTTGATTTTTCTGTTTTCACAGAGAAAGCCATCACTGAGGGCTGTAAAGTGGTCCGAGAAAGGCCATTACTCAGGGAGCTTTGCTCAGCCAAGCTGACTGGCTGGTGACCGCTGTGCTGTGGGTGGCCACTTCTCTGGTCACCGATGCTGGGACATGCCCCCGTCAGAACGTTCTTGGTAGCCCCACCCTGCTCAACAAAGTCAGGGGTCCAACAGTAGCTATGGAAGGTCTAAGATTAAGAAAACAAAGATTTTGTAAGTAGAAATGATTGATTTTGTATTTCCTACTCTGTCTTACTTCTGTAATTCTGAAATCATTTTATAAGCATAAGAAATTCAATAGGCATGTAGGGATTTAGTTATTGCTTTTATAAAGGCTAAATTCCTAATATTATTCATCTTCTGCCACACAGATACACTATTAGGAGAAATATATTTCTTTTATTCCCAACAATATTACCAGTGATTTTACACTGCTTGACATTATCATAAATTAAAATAAGTTGTTACTGAGATAGTTCAGTGATGAGAGCTGTCAAATATGAAAAATCTGTTCTTAAATAATTAGGACCCTGGAGGCCTGCCCAGCACCACGGCTTGGGTGTGAGGCTCCGAGCTGGAAGGTGGCCAGGACTTTCAGACCTGCAGACCCCAAGCTTGTAGAAGCAGTCGCCACTGCAGAGGCTGGGGGCCAGCTCACAGAGACCTCGCTAACCTAAGGAGAGGCCGGGGCGCAGTTGCTGCGGCCCCTGCCACTGCCTGTCTGCATGCTGTCTCTCTGTTTCATTTTAGGATGAGAATGGTTGTAGTCCTGGCTGGCACCCTGGTCATAATCGGCGCCCACCTTTTCTTCACTTTCATCTTAAGAGACAAAGAACTCCTTTGGGGTACGTAGCAAATAAATCTGTTTTTTTGGCTTCATAAAGTTCTTTCTTCAAAATTATAAAAATAAGGAGCATAATGGTAGTTTTGGGGAGTCAATTAAGACCCTATAGTGTATGTTTTGTTACACTCCATGAGGAAAAGTTGTAATTCTTAAGTTTAGAAGGATTAAAATACTGATACTGTACAGTTCTTTCTGAAAGAGAACTGATTTTCCTGTGGTTACACAATAGAAAATTTCCATTGATCTCTGCTCATATATTTTTTAAAAAATATTTCTTGTGGAGTATTTTTCTTTCCTACAAAATCATTTTTTATTAAATAACTTCTGGAATCAGTGTGCTACAGTGTGAAATCAGATTAAGAAAACTATGGAGATACAGTGGTTAAAATAATCAGGTATCAAACTCTTCGCTTTTCTTTTGCTAACATAAATTAATTGAATTCCAAACCCTCAGAAAAGTCTCACAGATGCCAATGGTGAGGGGCATTTGCCTAGAAACTTCAGCCCTATGGACACCCTCTTGGCCCTGGGACAGTTGTCACCTACCTGAGTGTCACCCTGGCTGCCCTGTAGCACTTGGACCTTGCTCGTGCCAGGTCACCCCCTGCCCCCCAGAACTTGAGGCTTCCTCTGTCTTCCAACGATAGTCATCCTCCCCCAGTCCCTGCTGCCCCATCCGCTATCCACCCAGGCCTGTCTCTGCTGGGAACCACCTTTTTCCAACTGTCCCTAATCCCAGGAATCCAGATATTTCACAGCTGTGCTGAAGCCCCTCAGAGGCTCCCTGGGGGAGCCCCTGCCCTATGGCCACCAGTCAGACCATTCCAAGGTCCAGCCAC